ACATGGATTCTTTCATGCACACCCAAGTTTATCAATTATCACCATAAGATATAACACACATACTTTGTACTTTTGTAGGATGTCGCCAAAAAGACCTCAACAGGAAAAGAGAAGGTCGGCTCCACATATGGCATTGCAGGTCCCGATTTTTGACCACCTCCATACTGATTAGGGGAGTACTAGTTATCCCATTTCTTGTGCTTTCAGCTTATTTTGTCCCTCAATTATATGTATTTGAACTTCTACTTTATTTCAACAATGAGGGCAAAATTATGTCTTTAATATTTCGTTAATCTTACATTGAGTACAATGTATTAACTAAGTTTGGGGGGTGACATACTTTTAAATCTTTATCTGCGTTCATCAGTATCTGTATTCGATTATTGCATAATGTATGCATGATGAGCGTTAAAAAAATTTCATGAATGCTCGTGTGGGCTTGATAACCTTACTAGCTATGATGTTATTATTGGGCTTGTTTAAACTGCAACACTTTGGATCTGGTGTTAATTAGACTAATTGATACTTGTTGATGCAACACTTGACATTATCTATGCACGTTATTCATGCTTGACATGTTAGATGAATGACTGGATTTTGAGTATAAAGTAGGAAAAGAATGATAACCATCTATTGAATTAACCCGTAAACTATCTTAAGACAGTTTGGTGATGGTTGAGCTACTATAAGAAAGCATTGAGATGAGCGAGCGTTCCGTGCATGAATTTTATTTTGTGGATTGCCTAGACCAGTGAGGTAAAGATTAGGTAAAAATCTTAAATTAGGGGTTGGTTTTAGAAACTAAATGTCTAGAACAATAAGGGCATAAAATAAATTTGTGAGAATAAGACACTTCTTTTCATGCATTTATGACTCGAGCAAGTAAGCCTGTAAGGATATATCAAAATCTGGTGCCCTAAGGTCAACTGGCTTGGGAGTCACCGGCCTAAAGCTCGCTAAAAGGGTCATATAGAAAGTAAGAGGGAAAGAAGTTAATAAAAAGTCATCTGATCGAGCCTTTATAACTCGAGTGAATAAGCCTGCAAGGGTTTAAAACCTGGTGCTCTAAAGCCAATTGGTTTGGGAGTCATCGGCCTAAAACTCGCTAAAGGGGTTATATAGAAAGCAAATGAGAAGGTGATATATTAAAAAAAAAAATTGGAAAGTGAGAAAAATAAAAGAGAGACAATAACATGAAGAAAAACCCTTAGAAATTTGGTTAAAGAAACTATACCTTTGAGGTGAAGCAAGTAACTTATTTTAATCTTGAGTATCGAAGCAATCAAACTTGGGAAAGCCTTCACTCGTTGAAATGTAAACTTGTGATAGTGAGATTAATCCAAACTACGAGAGGGTGAGAGCTACAGCTATGTAAACTCCTAATTTTAAAACACAACTCCGGGATAATTGAGTGATAAGAATAAGTTTTGGGGGTTGTGTATCTCTCGAGCGAGTAAGGATACATTTGACCACTTAGGGTTGGGACTCAACCTATCATGAATTTGATATATTGGCATGAATTCACACACACACATCAAGTATGCATTTAACAGGTAAAAGTTGATGTCATTTTTGCACCGGTAAATTTTCGTAAAGTCAAATACTTTGTCCAATCCTGAGCCACGGTAGGGTATTAAGCCATGTTTGTTCAGAATTAAGTCACTATCTTGCTTGAGGACAAACAATAGTTCAAGTTTGGGGGGTTTGATAAGTGTGTTTTTGCACACTTATTTAGATCACAAATATGGCTTAATTACGAGCAAAATGTTTAAATTGTAATTTAATCTCGTCGATTTCATGCAATGTATGTGTTTCTATGGAAATGGTGGAATTCAGGAGAAAAGAGCCGAAAAAGGACTAAAATGGAACAAAGTGATAGTTCAGGGACCAAGGTGAAATTATCCAAAAGATGGTCCGAAGGACAAATCAAGGAAGTGAATGAGCTAAGTACCAATTTGGTGATATTATGAGATGATAGGAATAAAAGAAACAAGCAAAAAGACCATATGAATCAAACTAAAAGTTTGGGGATCAAGTTGCAAATAATCCATAGATGAGACGAAAATGAAATGAAGATTAAAGAGTGTTAGAGGTCAAACTGATGAAGAAAGGAGTCAAGAGGTGAAATATGGTCGAAGTATTATCAAGCATCAACTTTCAGGTGAAAAAGCTATGCTCGTGATTTTTAGTCTCTATTTGAGATCCATTTTTGGCATAGTAAAAATCAAAATTTGAGGAATCCTATTTCTATCAAAAGTCTAGATCTTTGAGTTTTCGTCCCAATGCACTTTGAATCACTTCAATCAGAGATTAGGAAAAAAAATTTATAATCAAAATACTGAAATCTGTTCGACGAAAAAATTTCTATAACCATACGGCCGCGTGGTTATAATTCCTTGCGGTCGCACAAGGCAATACAGGGAAAAATCTGGGCTGAAACTTCTGAACCATGCGATAGCATGATATAAAAATGTGACGAAATCTCAGGTTTCCTTATTCGACTCAAACACGATTTAGTAAGGTTTTGGGTGACTTCCTTGACCTAATTTCATTCTCAATAAATACCAGACGACCCTGAAACATAAGAGGGGGAGAATATACACAATTTTGGAGGATTTGGAGAGGAAGAACAAGGCAAAAACAAGGCAATCCACTTCAAGATTCAAGATTTCACTTCAAGAATCAATTGTGTGATGTTCTTCCTTGGTTTTAATTATTGTTTTTCTTTATTTTCCATTATGTTAGGCTAGATTTTCATGTGCTAGGATTTGCGATGAACCTTATATTATGAACCCTTAATCTTGCATTTTATTAATTTGACGTTAAAACATGTTTTTAATTATTGAATGTTTGACATGGATTTTATTTTCTCTACAATTATGTGCGTAATAGTTGTATGAACTTTGTAACTTGTTTTACCCTTGAGAGATGGAAAATAAGTTAGACATTATGTTAATTTTTGTAAAGTTCGATAGGGGATTGAAATATACCGCTGTGCTTTATGTGATTTTTAAGTATTCATAAATCTTTAATGTAGTTTTATATGTTCGCATCCATCATAGAAATATAGTCGGATCGCATGTGAAAATATGTTTAATTCTACTTGAGAGAGATTGTTAAACAAATTAGGAATATTGGTCTTCATGATTGAATCGTGTTGTCAATTTTATAAAATTCGGATTAAAGGGGAATGATATAAGGGGATTCGGGATCCTAGTACGCATTTCATTATCATATTTTTATAAAACTTGCATTTAGTTATAATCACACATTTAATTTAGTTAATTTAGACTTTATATTTATAAGTATGTTATTAAATCATAATTTAGTTAGCGAAAATATCAAGAATTTCTATTGTTTCGGTTAAGGCGACGATATGTAAAATTGAACTAATCAATCTCCGTGGGACGATATTCGGACTCATTTAATCCACTTTATTACTTGTTAATGAACCGTACACTTACGGTAGTTTTAAATCAAAAAAATAATTTCGTGAAGAGTGAACTTTAACTAATTTGTTAATTCCTCACCTCTAGACTTTTTAACTTGTAAATATAGGCAGGATGCTTTGTTGAATCATCAAAAGCCAATATTAAAAAAAAATGATGAATAAAATCTAAGAAAAGGACAATTTCACGCTCACCTTGTAACTCGAATCCTCAATCGGCAAAGTGAATTTGATGGGGGAAAAATGTATTTTTCTTCGTCTTCATTGTTGAAGCAAAGTAAGATTGGTTGCTGTCACTGATGACATGGCAAGTTTTCACTGTGTTGTGGTCTGAAAAAAGAAATATGTAACAATTACATTATTTGACAATTATTCCATCATGCTTATAGTATATCGAAATGATAATAAACCTAAAAATGTGTAAACTAGTTAAGAATATCCAAAACTTGACAAATAACTAAGAGTGCGTTTGATTGTCAATATTTTTCATGGAAATGTCATTTTGTCATTTAAATTTCTACTTTTGTGCTGTTTGATTGATATTTTTTTCCAAAGAAAAATATTTTCCTACTTTTGGTCACATGACCATAATTTTTTTTTTTTTTTTTTTTTTTGAAAACCAGAAAAATATCTTCTTTTAGGGGAAGTAGATTTTTATTTTTCAGGTAATTTACTCTCTTTCTCTCTCATCTAGCTCATCTCTTTCTCCCATCTACTTACCAATGAAAAATGGACAATTATAACATTTTCTATCTGAAAAATAAAATCAATCATATACATTTAATTAACAAATTTTATGCAAATAACTTTTAGGCAATTCAATTGCCTAGAATTTATTTTCTTTTCATGTAAATGACATGCTTGTAATCAAACACACCATAAGTTGATAGAAATATATAAATTAAAATCCGAAAGGATAATTACTTATTACAAAATCAAATGGAATCAATAAGGTCATTATAGTAAATTCCAGGGGATTTCGAAATATTAAGACTCACTTCTAGAGCTGGGCATGGGTTGGATTGTGTCAATTTTTATTCAACCCAATTCAACACAACGTGATCAATTTGATCAAAAATCAAATCAACCCAGTCCAATTATTGGTTTAAGCCCATCCCAACCCAAATCGATCAAGCTTGGGTTGGTTTTGGGATAACTGATTGTGCTCTATTTTAATGAGTATTAAAGCATTGTGCACTATATTTACCCCATGTTTGATCCCCATTTTTTGGGATAAAATGTATTATGAAATAGTGATTTTTTAGATAATGTGTGATTAAAAAGTAAGAAATTTTTGAAATACGTATATAATTATTTTATAGAAGAATGTGTGATTGAAAATGAGTTTTGAAAAAAAGTATTCTCGAAAAAATGTGGCTCAAATAGGGGTTTAATAAGAATTAGAGCATGTGCCCTAAGTTTAAAAAGTTCACTTACGAGTAAATTTACTTATAAATATCTACGCTTGGCCAATCATGCTCAAATTACGCACAAGCAGTTTTCGAGTTGCTAGAGCAGGGCCGGTCCTGTGGTTTTTGGGGCCTGAGGCGAGCTCCAAAAATTAGGCCCCCCCCCCAAAAATCAACTTAAATGCAAAATTCAACAAAACTTATTGTGTATTATGCAACATATTGCTAACTTAAAACTTAACAGTATAACAACAAAAACATATATTGTACAAAAAAATTATATTATAAAATAACAAAACTAACAACGTTTCAAACAATCATTTAAATAATATTTGTCTTGCTGTTTTAGATGCAAAAACATTAAATCTGAATAATTTAGTTGTTCAACCATTTCTTTCTCTATTAACAACATAGTTAATTCGTTCAATCTTTCTTGTGACATAGTTGATCGGAGGTAAGTTTTGATCAACTTCAATTTGGAAAAACTTCTTTTCACAAAATATCTCAATCATTTCACAATTAACGTTTTCAATATAGTTACTATGTGTTCCTGTGCAATTGATCCTACAATAACCAATCATATAAGCCGACCAGGCCACAATTATATAAGCCGACAAGGCTTCAAACATTTCCAATATATTTAATAACAAGTTAGGTAAGCCATTGCTTACTTGAGAAGCAGAATTTTGACGAGAATGGTGGAATCATGCCGTTGAGAATCCCACCGTTACAATTTACAAGCCTGAAATAAAAATTTAGCATCAACCACCAATACAAAACCAAAATAAAAAAGTGGAAACCAAACCAAACCATAGACAAAATTCATTCCAGTTGATATTGTTCACCTGACTACTGACATATCTCACAAAAACAACAAACATAAAATATCTATGGCACCAACCATGTGCATAAAGTCTTCATACAACATAAGATTGAACAGCAACACCAAGTAAAGGAAAACAACAATCTGAAATGAAAGGTCCAAATTCCAACAGCACCTTGGGGAACAGGGGAAGGGCCTCAAGATTGACAATTTGGTTGCCGCAAGATGACGAAACCGTTTTATACTTGAAATTTGTTATTGCATCAAGACCAATATTTGATTATTTTAAGAGATTAAAGAATTGAGTTAGTGATAGATACATTAATACACGAGGATCCAACTAAGTTCTATACATTAATCTTCTACTTTCTTCTCTCATACAGTCATAAAATCATAATAAGAATTGGTAGCCCATTGGAACAATTAACCCGAACTTGGTGGACAAAAGCACATAGTACATAGAAATATAATTCTCTCAATGTTTCACCAACTTGGTGGAAAATCCATGTAAGACTATTGCGCAGATGACGAATTGGAAAATGAAGACATGTAAATTACCTTTTTATATAATGCCATAAGGTTTGATTCTTCGAAAGGCAGATAGCCAGCCATAAGGACGAAAAGGATAACACCACATGACTAGAGATCTGCCTTAGCTCCATCATAACCTTTATTGTTGATCACCTGGATATTTAGCTAACCAAAAAGAGTGAGAGTGAAGAATTATATAGAAAATATAAATTATAGGATTTGCACCAAAAGCTAATTATATTATATACCTCAAGAATTATTCAAAAAATATAAAGTATAGGATTTGCCCCAAAAGCTAATTATATACCTCATGAGCAACATAATTTGGTGTTCCAAATGTTGTGTGAAGCAACCCATCTTCCTACACGAGCAAATTGAGAATCTAAGCGTGAAAAATCTCGTGCATCTTTAGTTATGTTAATGTTACTATATCGAAAAATAGAAGATTATGATCAACAAAAAGGTACCCTAACTTATTAATTAGGATTAGCCATGTTCTATATGTTTTTGGTCTATATACTTACTTTTGAGGAGCATTCATTGTCGAAATTACTTTTGACAGATTCCAATTGTCAAAATCACAAGCCTTTCGGGACATTAATTGAATAACACAAATACTCTCAAAAGAAAGAAGCTGCAGTGCAAGTTTGCCCTTTTTTAATTAATATGGTTTTGCTCCCTACTTTTATATTCTATGGTAAAATGTACAGAACCTACCAAATAACTTGTACCGATTCTATGTAAAAGTATAAATACCCTTATGCGCCAAAGGAAATAAAAACAGAATGTGGATTACAAAAAAATGACAAGTTTTTGTGCAGTACAATACTAACCCGAACTTGCTGAGGTAGAGCACTCAATCTAAAGTCTAAAACTTTAAGAACTCCATTGGCATCCAGCAACAAATTCTCTGGCTATAAATCATGAAATGAAATTAAAACCGGTCTTTTGTTGTCCCAAAAAATACAACAATTCCAATTTTCTAAAAAAAAAAATGAAGCGAGCAACTAAAAATAAAGTTACATCCTCACCTTCAGGTCTCTGTGGCAGACGCCTCTGCTGTGGCAGTAATCTACTGCATTGATGAGTTGCTGAAAATATTTTCTTGCTTCATCTTCTTTCAGCCTGCCTTTAGTGGCCTAGCCTCAAAAAATGATACCATGTTTGCACGTTGTTCAATTACATCTAATTAGATTATCATACTGGAATCATAAGGCAAAAGCAATCATAAACTTACAATTTTGTCAAAGAGTTCACCTCCAATAACAAATTCCATAACGATATATATCTTCATTTTGCTGGCCATAACCTAGATTATGCCATATTCATCAGGAAACTAAATATACAAGAAATGCATATAAAATCCACATCTCCAGGAACATCCGGCACTATATGCCTAATTATTCCTCGAGAAGTTGGCTAAACAAGTTAAATTCCAACCTCATACATGCGGATGACATTTGGGTGTCTGAATAATTTCATGGTGGAGATTTCGTGCTTAATCTGCAAGTTAAATAACATTAAGATCAATCAGAAATGTTTTAAATATGTCAAAGGTGGGGAAATAAAGAAGCATAAGAACAGAGATACACCTAGGCAACTATGGGAAGTGCCCAAAATAAAAGACATGTGAAACAAAACTTTAAATTTATACCTTCCTACGCCGTAGATATACATTTTGAAAGAAAACAAAATAAAGGAAATAAACACAAACTTATCCTAAAGAAAACAAATATGACAACAATAAGATTCTTATTCATAATTGGGATTCTGAAAGTAATTAAATCAAATATGACAACAATAAGATTCTGAAAGAAAACAAAATAAAGGAAATAAACACAAACTTATCCTAAAACTCAACTTTCTATAGGCTTAGTATAAGAGAGAGAAAAAAAAAATGCAGCAGGACAGGACTTACCGTCACAGAGACTGAGAGCCGGAGAGTGGAGAGGCCGACGACAGGGCCCCCATAACCGCAGTAGTCACCGGGAACTGGGAAGGCCGGCTATAGTGTTCGGTTGCGTGCAGAATAACAATTGCAGCCTCGCAGTCGCAGGGAAGAACAACCAAGGGTTTGCAAAATTTGTAATTGATTTTTTTTCAATTGGAATGTCGAGTGCACAATGGTTATTATTCTTACTCATAATTGGGATTTGGGCCTGATTTTATTTAGAACAGAAGAGGTCCAATTGCCTAAAAAAGGTCCAAAACCTAAACATAAAGAGGCCCAAAACATGATCCTGTACCTGTGTAACTGTGTCATTTCTTCTTTCTCCTTCCTCCGACTTCCATCGGTGCCTGGTGTAAATTCCACCCGGTAGCACTATAAACTCCAGCTGGATCCACCCCTTATTCACAACATCACTCATCAGCCCAAACAAAAGGGCTAAAACATTCATCTTCTTCCTCAGCTTCTCTTCCACAATTTGGCCTATGCAACCTGTAAAAAAAAAAAAAAAAAAAAAAGGGAAATCTTTGGGCAAAAAAATAGGCCCCCTTAGATTGTGGGCCTGAGGCCCTAGCCTCATTTGCCTCATGGCAGGACCGGCTCTGTGCTAGAGTACTTTAACAAGCACATCAATTTGTTTCTATTTTAGCTTATGGTCGTAGGTATTCATGTTTAGTAAGATTTTTCTTCGAACAATAGGGTGATACAAAATGTTGATATATAGGTGTTATCACTTTGTTATAGTCGGAAGCCAAGTCATTCCTGGGGCAACTCGACTTATAATATCCTCAACAAAGGTGGGGACGAACAGTCGAGCACGACTAACAATACTGATATATGCTTAATTTTGTAAAGTACTGATCATACAGAAGAGTAAATAAATTGATAATCGTTCTTACCTTCACTGGACTACTGCGTTACAACTTAGTTATATGGTAGAAGGTTTCAATAAGACTTTGAATCTTTCCTTAGTTAGACTGAACTCTTTTCCAGCTGTCCTTACTAGGATCAAATTAGGATTTTCCATTTAGGTATTAATTTTTTCAATTCATAACTAGAGACCCAATTCAATTCAATCTCAAATTTGAATGTAAAAATCATACACACATACGCACACATGTTTTTTAAGTATTCAATTCAAAAATCAGATTAAAACCTTTTTTTTGTTCAAAGTCAGATTATTATTATTATTATTATTATTATTATTATTATTATTATTATAAAATTAAATTAATCGACATACCCCCATCCACCTCCATCTCACTTCCAAACCATAGATTTTCCCACGTTCTTCTTTCTCTCCCTTCTTTATCTATCTCATTTTCTCTAATAGCAGCATTTATTGCTATCGCTCATTGGCGACGAGCATTGTTGCATGCTGTGCTTAGCGGCAAGAGATGCTAAGGGAGAGGTCACGTGCAGCACACCGCTTTGCTATGCTATTAGCAGCATTGTATTGGTGCGCCTACAAAGGTGGGGCTGCTTCTTACACACTACTGCTTTCTTTTTCATTTGCATTTATAATTTTCTATTTGCATTGGTGCAATCTATTTTATTTTTTCATATCCTCTCTTTTCATCATTTGTTTGTAGTGTTAATGGTTGTAGTGTGGTAGAGGTGGAGGAGATAGTGGATTTGAGGAAGTGGCGGTCGTGATTGTTGATATAGGGGGGTGGTGATGGGAATTTTTTTAATTTTTTTAATTTTTGGGTGGGGATTGTCGTTGTGGTGTAGTAGTAGAGATGAAGGTTTGTTGGTAGTGCAGTGGTAGTGGCAATGGGTGGAGCTGAATCATTGCTGGTGCAAGTAATGGCAATGGTGAAATGGTAATGGTGATGGTGCTAACGATGAAAGTAGTGAGGTGGCGCGATTCGGTTAGTGACAATGCTGGGGTGGGGCTGAGATGGGATAAAGAGTGTTTTTGATCAATTATTTGAGTAATTGTGACCAATAAATTGGTCAATTTGTGATCTATAAATAGTATGTGGCCGATAAAATTGATGAATTGAGACTAATAAATAATATGTTATTTGTGAATGACAAATTGTGACTAAAATTGTAATTGTGAAAATGTGTTTAATTGTGAACAATAAACTTGATAATTTGTGACTATGAAATAAATTGTGATCTATAAAATTTGTGATTTGTGATCTAGAAATAACACGTGTTTTATTAATTTAACCTATAAAATTTGTGATTTGTGACCATGAAATATTGTTTGACTAATTAATTTGATAATTAGTGATTGATAAATAAGTTGTGATCTTTAAGTGCATAACTCTGACAATAAACTGTATAATTATGACCCTTAATGTATTTTTAATTATTTATTTCATTAATAATTTTAATTGTAATCTAATTTTTGAATGTTTAAAACTAATTTTTTAAAAATTAAATAGTAAAAAATAACCACCTTATTTATGTATTATTCCTAATTTGATTTTTCTATTCAATACAACCCAACTCAATCGAGTAAAACTTGAAAACCAACCCAAATTTAGCCCACGTTTGGCCATCATTTTTTCAAATTAGAATTGGTGGAATAATATTTATTTATTTATTTTTGAAAATGACGGGTTAAAAAAAATAAAAATTTCGATTTACATATAATATTATTTTATGAAAGATTATGCGCCTGAAATTAGAAGAGAGAAAAACGAAATTTAATTTAATGGGGCTTAACTTTCCTAATCAATCCAATTAAACTTTAAAACCAATCTATTTTAGATTGGGTTGGTCGATTTTAGCTATTTAGCCCTCGTTTGGCCCTCATTTTCTGAAATAAAAATTTGTGCAATAGTATTTATTTATTTATTTTTAAAAATGAGTGGTTGAAAAAAGAAATTTTTTTTTTCGATTTTTGTATAATATTATTTTATGGTTGTTGACGGTGGGATGAAGAATAATGGAATATAATGGATTGGAAATTAATCGGGCCGGAGGCTTGGTTTGCATTGTCCTGCCCGTCGCCTCGTATAAACCGACCTTCAACACACAAACACATATTACAAGAGAAAAATCACATTGTTGTCAATTGATAGATAAAAAGAAGGTCGACTTTCTCTCAGTTGTGTGACAAACTGAATTAATTCTAAGAATGGACGCATTTGCACGGTTCTTCGACTCGCAATCGGCGTCTGGGAACCGTTGGAGTTACAATTCTTCAGTCGCTCAAACTCATTACAAACAGGTTTTTTCTTATTTTATTTTATTATCAATTTATTTTTTACGTAATAAGTTTGTTTTAATTTACCTTCTTCGGATTCTTGGGAAATTTGAACTTGAATTGGTGTTTTTCTGAAATTTGGTACTTGGAGTCCAATTCTAGAGTCAGGGTATTAACGATCGCATAGTTTTCTGCAATTGGTTGTGCTTTTTTTAATTTTTGTATTGTATTCTCGAAAAGTTTTCAGATTTTATTTAAAGAATTAATTGAATTTAGAGCGACATGAATCCGAATTTCAATACGCGATTGATCAATTAATTTAATATCAAGTCTGAATGTATGGCCTCTAATGAGGGTTTAGCCAATCATATATCGTGTTTAAAGTGAGGGTTAATTTACATGTTGGCAGGCATTTATGGAATTTGAGTTATTGTTTGGAAAATATGGAATTTTATTTTTTTATGCTAGTAGTTTTGCTTTTGGGAATCTTTTTATAGTATTTTCTTTTCATTTTCCGTCTTTTTTACAGAAAAATTACACTTTTTCTCTGAACTGGTCCTTACCTTAGCATTCATTCACTAATTGGAATTTATCTTTTTTTTCCCTATCTTTTCATTTTCCTCTAATCATGTTTGTTTTATATTATTTGATTAATGATTTATTTCTGTTACACTCAGCACTTGCCTTTTAAATTTGTTAAAATTCAAAAAGTTAAACTATGGGGACATATGTATTGGACTGTCTGATTTCAGGTCTCGCTCTCACTGTGCTTTGCTTTAACGGCAGCAGCTGCTGTTGGGGCTTACCTTCATATCCTTTGGAATATCTGGGGATTTCTGACTACCTTAGCATCCGTGTGTAGCATCTTTTGGCTATTCTCTGTGCCTCTTTATGAAGAGGTATTGCTTTCATTGTTAATTGTTTAGTTCGAAGATGTGAACATATAGTCTCGTTTCTATTTTGTTATACATGATCTTGATAATGAATAGGAAAAATGGGTGGCCGCTGGGCCCTGTCAATGGTACTCTCTTTATCCTCTGATTGTATTGTCTGGATTGGGTTGCCCATGGTATGTATCCTCGACCAGTCTGTATGGTCTCCGAGTTTCATTCCGAGTCAGTGGTTTTGTTTTTGTCTTTTTTGATATTATTCTTGTTTTGGGATTTTACGCTTGAAATATGCATTTTTTTTTTACGACGAGGGTGGAACTCAGGTAGACTGGGGCGAAAAAGGAAAGAGGACCACTAGAGGCTTCGTCCCACGCTTTTCGTTTCTATTATGATCGTCTGAATTGGTAGCACCCGGCGAGCATTGGTAGCGCGTGCCAACTCCATCGGCAGTAGATTTTTTTGCCATTTCTTTTTTCTCTAAAAAAGATAGATAGAAAATAGACAAATGAAATGGAAAACAAGCTTGAAGGTTTTTCCTAGTTCCTTCAATCTTGCTCGGCGACTCATTCTCTCGTTTTCTTCTCTTTCTGCTTCATTCAATTTTCCCATTCTTCTCTGGTTTTCTTTTCTTTCTTCACATTTTCTCTTTCTCTCTCATTGGCTGTATGGATAGTTCTAAAATGGTTAGGCAATGTATTGACTAGAAGACTTTTAAATCATTAATAGTGGGCCCAACTATCTTCCTTTATTATGCTAATACCCCAAATCTTTTCATATATAATTACTAACCCATGCATTTTTAAAATTGCAGGATAGCGCACAATAATATCACTAACTTATTTAAATCCTTATTTGACTTTGACTTAATACTTTGTTATTGTCTTCATGAAATTGGAAATTGAAAATTGTTATTTTTAACTTATTGTTGGTGACGTCTATGTTATAACTTGGGTGGTATTTGTTTATATTTTCATATCTGTATGATTTTTACATCTTAATGCATTTATATATTGATTGAAGGATGTTTTAATATTATTTAATTAAATATTAATAAATAATGGTCGTTGACGGTCAACGTTCAACGACCGCCCTAGCTTTAGATTTTGGATCTGCCACTGGTGCGGGTGTGCAAAGTATATGTGTGATCTTCCTTCTTCAAATTCTCTCTCTTTTCCTCTTCTCGTTCCATTTTTTCCTGTCATCTTTTATGATTAATAGTTGTAAGTGAACCATTATTGCAATTAATTTACTAGGTTACTATTTTGTGATTTAACACTGATTGAGTAAGTTTGGAGGTTGAAGATCAACTATTACATTTGGTATTAGAGTAGCAATGCGACTTGGGTATGGCTAAAACTAAGAGTAAACTCTGTAGTATGGACACTTCAAATACAGTAGCATATCGGATACGTGTCGAATATCGACACTCCTCGAAAACTCTGTTATGTTCATTTTTTTCTTTATTAAAAATATTATATATTTTTAACTTAAAATTATTATTAAATAACAAATAAATACTCATATTTAAAAGATTTCGACAATAAAAATTAATAACAAGTGAAAAAATTTAAAGAATTAATCAATGTGTTAAAAGACGTGTCATGTCGGAACTTTATACTCTATATATGAAAATTTTTAATGAATTTAATCAACGTGTAGACGACGTGTAGTGTCAGAATTTTTTTGCAAAATCGAGTGTTAGCGTTTCTGATGTGTTTCATATTGGACGCACGTGTTCGTGTTGGTGCTTCATAGGGAGTAAATCTAATGCGGAACACCTTGAGAAGCTAGACAAAGAAATACCAGAGGTCAAATTAAATGTTGAAGGCAGTCTGCACTAAGCAGGACCGAATGGAGCATTTGATGGGAGAAATGAATAGCAAATACGATCGATATCCATGTTCATCTAGATGACTTGGGGTAAGGTAGACCACAAGGAAAAGCGTGTTGAAGGATATGGTACTCCATCCTCTGGGAAGAAACCATCACTGGGAAATACCCATAGAATTGGGGAGACTAGAGTGAATATTATATTACCCAGCATAGACTTCCCTAGAGATTAGTTGAAGAAAGGCCATATATATTTCCAGATTCATCTAGTGGCTGATGAGTTGAGGGTGGGAATAACTGAGATGTATTTGAAGGGAAAATAGGACATGGTTTCATGGCTTCATCTCCAGCGATACCAATGTTGATTTGGACAAGTTTTCGAGTGAAGTTTGTAGATAGTTCGTTGAAAACACTACTGAGGAAGTGATAGAAGTCTTCAGTAAGCTGAGGCAAATGGGGACCATTATGGAATATCAAGTGCAATTTGAAGAGTTGAAGTCTCAGGTAATGATATCCCTATCCCATTTGCCTGAGTCCTATTACATCTCGATTTTCACCAGTGGCCTGAAAGAGATCAAATCTATGGTTAAAATCATCCAATCCCCAACATTAATTATGGCCTTTGAAATTGCCTCCTTACAAGAAAATACCATCACACCCCAAACAAAGGATCTAAGACCTTCAAATCATTCTCACCTACTAAATGGTGCCATCCAAACACTACACCAAATGAAACCACATCTAAATCCACACCCTATACAGAACCAAATCTCAAAAACCCCCATCAACCCATTTAAATTCAAAGCCAGCACCCCTCGGATATCCAAACCAAAAGGAAGCTTGGATTTGATAAACCTCCAATTAGGTACATTCTTGAACGGTTAAGAAGACTTGTGCACTAGCTGGGAAGAAGTAGCAACAGATTCTGTTAACTAAACTGAATGGCTTGAATAGAATTAGTTAATGGAGGCTTATATAAGCGGACAAGAGGAACCATTATAAGTAGGCAGAATTTTGTTATTGTTAAGGTAGAGTAGTAGAGCCTCTCGAATGCTTTGCAACTTATTGTATTTCCTTTCATTTGGATTGTACTTCCATATATTCCATAATAGAAATTCATCAAGGAATAGCCTAACCACTAACTGAACTTCTGGTTAAGAAAAAGGATGGAACTGGGAGGTTTTGTGTTGATAACAGGCAGCTGAATGCCCTCACAATTAAAGACAAATACCACTGAGTGATGAGCTATTAGATGAATTGAAGGGGATTAGGTGGTTTAACAAAATTGATCTCAGAGCTGGGTACTAGCAAATAAGAGTGGCGGAACAAGACATCTAGAAAATAGCTTTTATGACCTATGATGGCCACTATGAGTTTAGAGTCATGCCATTTGGACTTACAAACACCCTAGCATCTCAGCAAGTTTATATTAGTCTTCTTTGATGATATATTGGTGTATAGTCCAGACCTATGAACTCATTGAGAAAATGTTGCTGTGGTGCTGGGAATCTTAAAACAACACCAGCTTTATGCTAAGGAGAGCAAATGCTCTTTTGGACAACCCAGCATAGAGTTTTTAGGCCATATTGTCTCTTCACGAGGAGTGTTAACAGATACCTTAAAAATAGGGGCAATGTATGTAATATCCCGAATTTTTATTATTAGTCGTTAGATTAAAAATTAGGACTTAAGTGCACTGTTATTAAAGTCTAATGACCTTATTAATTACTAACCAATAGTTTGAGGGCCTAAATGATGAGTTAATTTAGAAGTTAAATGAAATTATATGTAAAATATATATGTAAATATGTCAATTAGCTATGATTGAAGTTTATTATTTGACCACATGCATTATTCACCACATTTTAAGCAAAGTAATTACTTTGACCACATAAACTAAGGTAATTGATTAGACCACATGCATTATTTACACCAAGATTCAAGTCAAGTCAATTGATTTGATCACATAATTAAAGGAATTGATTTGACAACTTTCAAGACATGAACCAATTGTGTTTTTGACCATGTCTAATATTTAGCCATTTCCTTTCAATTTTCCATACAAGGTCCAAGAAGTTACACTATAAATAGGAGTTAAACTCAACATTGGACTATCCTTCACCAATTATTTACACTCTTCCTCTCTATCTCTATCACTTTGTCTCTACAACTTTACTCTTTCTCGTCTTTCTCATATTAAATTTAGTCATACACTTACACAATCACACAATCTGGCACACGGCTCAAGGATCTCCCTTCAACAATCACTTCTTTTATAATCTTTGAATTATCAAGTGAAAGGTAAGTGTAGTAGTACGAATTGTTCTTTCATTATTTAAATTACAGAAATTTATGTTATGAATACGATGATACGAAAATTCTAGCTATGATTATGATAAGGGTCCTATATGTGTAAGTTCAAATGACCGGAGTTTAGTAGCACTGTGAATGGGAATTATAGCCACGAAGTTCGGATTTTAATTCTCGTGTCTCCATATGTATGTTATGATTTTCCATAATTAAATATGAGTTGGAAATTTGTTATTACTCATTTACTAAGATTTATGTCTTAGATGTATATGTTAAATATTTTATACGTAATTAAAAGAGGCGGGTTCGAGGCGATCAGAGGTGGATTGTGCTTGCGTGGTTGAAAATGAATAATGATTTAAGAAGTTAAAAGAATTTTAACGATATTTATTGTATTTTCTTTAAAATTTGTTTTAAACCTTTCACAATCAAAAGATATTTTTTTTTATGAAAGTATTATTTTACGGAACATGTATAATGATTCCAAAGGTAAAAATTTGGGTCGTTACAACATGGTATCAGAGCGGGTCTATGTTCCTGTAGACTTTTTATAAAAAAGAAAAAAAGTATTTAAAGTTTATTATATCACCACCACGCAATGCCACTTTTCAAACTCCGACGTCATCGAATCAGGTAAAAAACATGTAAATGCATTAATATTTAATGTTATGATCATATGATGATGATTATATTATGATCATGTTCATGTTCATGTTCATTATGCTTACATACGTTTAGAACGTGCTAAATTATGAAAAATTAAACATGTTTATACACGATTATATGAATAAATATGTACAAAATTATATTTAAGCAAACTAAAATTTTGGTTTGTGAAAATGTGCTTATTTACGTACAAATTTCCCTTA